CCCAAATGCGCGCTGAGGCGCAGGCACAGACGAGTTTTTGTGTGGCGAGCAATGGGTGGAGATCAGATCCTCACCGTGGAGCTTGCGCGTTCATATATTAGTATGACTTCTTGAAGGGTTGGACCCCCCAAAATTGTGGTTGTCCTTTTGGCTTTCCTTCAAAACTCGCCAAAAGCAATGTTCTCACGCAAAAAGAAACAAAATACCCATGTTTTGTTGGATGGATCTCACTCAACGTTGCGGCAGAGACTGTGCAGTACTGTTTGTTTGGACAATTCGGATTCCCGAACCTTGCCCCAAAGAAGTCTAATGCGTCCTCACCCATTGGACGCATCCCAGCACCTTTCATTTTGGCCCAGGGGGCGATTCAATCAAACCCAGACCAGAGAGTCACCACTGGGCTCAGGGACGTTTTCAACATCGGCCCAAGCGCCTGGATGGGACCTGGCACCATGCCAATTGTTTTTTATTTTATTTTTTTCCCGAGCATTTGAATGATCGATGTGACGACTTCTTTGGTTCCGTTTCAATCCAAAGATCATTGGCGCCTATGGCCACCTGACCAAATTCAACTCCCAAGAAAAGGGTAAGTTGTGAGACGCGGCGTCCAACTGGTAGAATCTATCATTACAGTTACCTCCAACATGTGAAAAAACAAATTCAAAACATGTAGATTGCAAAGGGTTCTCATTATTACAGTTTAGAATTGCAATAAACCAAGTTCAATTCACATAGATTGCAAAGGGTTTCCTCATTATTACGGTTGTTGTCCTAAGAATTGCAAGAAACCAAACGCAAACCACATGTATTAGTTAGTTTTCTATTAATTACAGCAATCCCAATTCAAGTGTCGTAGACTACAAAGGGTTCCATTGTTCGCTCGCTTGATGTCTGTCAGAAAGCTTTTGTGCAGATCCCAACACAAACCTCTTGGCGGCTTTTACCATCGCTTGTGTTTGATATTGTCCATAATGGGTTTAGCAGATCTCACTCGCAACCACCATTTTGTTCTTCTCTATAATTGATGCTCTAAATCTTCCAACGTAACTAAACACAAAAGCCATGGCAAGAACAAAAGCTGTGGCTTCCCGCCTGCTCACCTGCACCAGGCTCCACCCCATTCCCCTTGCCCGCCTTGCCGCCTTGAGGTGGACGTGCGGATTCTGCAGTCGATCCCCACGCCTGTGGCCGATGCGTTGGTGTCCAAGGGCTGCCGAACTGACGCGGACTTGTTCTCCCGCCCCGAGGCGCTGAAAGAGGCCCGAGCCAGGGAGAGGCGTCGACGGAAAAGGACCCATGTGAGAGAAGTGCAATCATGTGAAGTAGCATATTTGGCGGCGGTTTGGTTGAAACCTGTGAGTGGTTTTATTTCAGCGAGGGCAACATGTAAGCCTCGAGATGAGGCGCGAATACTTGCGCAAGATGAACCGATTACACTACCTTATTTGATCAATAATGTTGTTTTACCGTAAAACGCAGGTATTGGTGATTATTTGTGTGTAAACAGGTGCTGTATCCTTGGCAAGGTGGTTTCGGCCAGGAAGCCGCGCTTTTGCGAGGAATTAACACATCAACATGGCCTCCTACTTCAAGGCGTCACCTTGACTAAATTTTATTTCGGTCTCATCTCGGTTCTCAGGGAATCTTTTTCCGGGGGGGGGGGGGGGCGGGGATGAACCGTTTGCAACCCCATCAAAGGAAGTAAGTCTCCTTCCCAACCAACTTGAATCTACTGGTACCCCAAACCGTCCTAAAGCAATCCTATAACAAACCGACCACCTAAACCTACCCTAACATCCGAACACGACCAGGCGACAAGGCAGCCCACAAGCCCTAGACCTACTGTGACGAAATCCTGCACCACCTCAGACACCCTGGAATGAGGATTCCCCTGTCAATATCAGCAATGGTGCACCCAAAAAGAACTAACACGACCAGCCGACAGCCCACAAGCCCTAGACCTACCACGGCCAGGTGCTGACACAGCACCATGTGCCGGGCCCGGAGAAGCGCGCGCAGCACATGCTGGCGGCGGTGCGACGGGAGAACGGCAGAGACGCGGCGCGGCGGCATGGGAAGAGTCTCAGAGAGCTACGTGGGGAATCAGTCGTCCGTAGATACACATGTACATCATGTACATTTACATATATTTACATATTTAGATATATTTACATATATATATATATATATTAGTGTGTCTCAAAAAAGCCGGATTTGGACCTCCCCAAAATGATGTTGAATCCTTCGGGCTTCCTTTTAAAGCCACCCGACAGCGAAGTACCCTCAAAAAAGGCACTCCCATAGTTTGAGGGTTCTGAAATCACGGCTGAGGTGGTATCTTTCTAGGTGTTTTTGTTGGAAATGGTCTGGCCCCCCTGGTTGGTTGGTTGGCGGCCTGGTTGGTTGGTTGGTTGGGTGGTTTGTTTAATTTGGTCGGTGGGTGGGTGGGGCTGATTTGTTGCTGGCCGCAGAGAAGAACCAGCTAGTGAGAAACCAGCCCCACTTAAAGACAACCCCCACCTCAACATCACTCTGAAGATGACGGCCCCCTTTGAGACGCGTACCTTCCCTGTAAATTATGGAGGATCCCAAGACTTTGGAAAGGTTCTTGTATTCCTTTCCGAAGCCGGGAGCTTGCTGGCTTGTCTTAGCCTGAGGAACTTTACCACCTTTTTGGGGTGTTGCCCCCTCTTGGGCTTGGTTGTTTTCCAGGGGCCCCTGCCTTTGTTGGGGTTGTTTACACGGGAGTCAAATTACTACTCAAGAGTGCCCGTATTTCCACCTTGGGATTTAGAGTAATTTTGGCCAGGTGTTTACTTCCGCTTCCCCGATTGATTTACTAGAAACAACAACAACAACAACAACAACAACAACAACAACAACAACAACAACAACAACAACAACAACAACAACAACAACAACAACAACAACAACAACAACCACCACCACGACCACGACCACGACAACAACAACAACAACAACAACAACAACAACAACAACAACAACAACAACAACAACAACCACAACAACCAACAACCAACAACCAACAACCAACAACCAACAACCAACAACCAACAACCAACAACCAACAACCAACAACCAACAACCAACAAAAACAACCAACAACCAACAACCAACAACAACAACCAACAACCAACAACAACAACAACCAACAAACCAACAA